GAGCTTGAATTAACTGGTCACTAATGGATCAAAAGAATTCGTGTGATTTTCGAGGTAGACCATGACAACGGATTGTGGGCGCTTGTATTGACCTATGAAACGTGTACAGCTGTTCCTATGAAACTAATAACCAAAAGACCCAAACCCCTACTCTCCTAAAGTATTATGGCTTGGACTACTTATAAAGAAGTCTTCAGACGCTGAAAGTACGGTAATCGCAGCCGTGTCCGGTGCTTCCTCAACTTAGAAGTGTCGTTGAGAGAGGATTGTATGCCAATTCACTAACTGCCTTAACAGAGGCATGCCAACGCAACTACCCTCTCCAACTACTTCAATCGTTACCAGTCCGTGCTATCCCATTGCTGAAAGACGCTTGGAAATAAAAGGCATTGCAAAATCACGTCCCAATGTGAACGAGCGAAAGATTATAGCGATGACTACCTCAAAGTCTACAATGAGTTTGAAAGACTCTTGAGTGTTAATTTTAGCGTAAATTGTGTGATTAGAGGGAATGGAATTCCCTAATGGCGAGCAAAAAAACGTCGTCTGAGGACACTTCAATGACCGAGACTATGGGGCACAAGTCTCCATATGATCCTCCTTCGCCCTGAATGTGTCCAACCCCTTTGCAAGCCGTTCAATGAAAGCTACTCTTCAACGTCCACATTGTAGAAAAAAGGCAAATTAATCAATCTCATACCACCCACTGATATCCCCAAAGCAGTACACCTCTTCAAGTTCACTTACTACTCTCCCCAACGTTCAGATAAGAGCCTAAATAAAAGCCTTTGATAACAGAATGAAATGTTGATAGGCTCCGTTGATCCGCGATACAAGTTTAATCGAATGGATGGCAAAAATGGAAACTCACTTCAAGAAGGTAACCTTTCCAGCCTCACGAGAAATAAAACCAGTGTGAAACTGCATTTGGCATATCTTGACAGACGCCGCCTACAAACAGGATTATTACTTTCAGAGGAGACACAAAGCCCGTTTAAAAGGAAACAAGAACTGATAAAATACAAAATACTTAAGGCAACCGTTAGCTAAAGAAAAAAAGAAGCAAAGTTGTGTAGTCAATTACCAAAATTTAAAGTCAATGGAGCGAAAAAAGTTAACTCATCAGACCATGCCAACAGGAGTGATGGCAAGAAAACTCAGCGGATTCAGTTATAAACCATCAATAGGATCGAAAGAGATGTCCTGAACCAAACACAAAAGGGATGGACAAAAAAACTCACCTTCCCTTTTCCAGCGAAAAAGGAACGAGCATGATAAACGATGATTGTAACATCCCCGTAGACAGTGAGGCCATTGAAAGTGACCTCAAATTTGCGATCCTCAAACTCGTAGGTGCTAAGAAATCGGGAAAGTAACAAGTAGGAAGTATCGCAACGCAAACATCAGTTGATTGCCCCCAGCTTCAACCTATGCATAAATACATACAGGACAGCATTGCTGACAAGACAGACTTCTGATTGGTGCAATCCTCACCAATGGGAAATCAGCCAGATAGAGATCAGTGCTGTATTAAAGCCAATAGTAAGTCCTGTCTTGATGCTAGAACAGACGCTTCTTTCAAAGACCAAAATAAAGTGGACTAAACAAACCTAATGGCTTAGTAAACTCAAACGTGAATGAAAGGGCACATCAAAGTCGAGATCATGACATCACTTTTGGACATCTCCTGTAGAAAGGGTCCAAAACACATACAATGCGACAATGCTTGATTTTTGTAACCATAAAAAAGATTAGTTACACGGAAAACTCGAGCCGAGAACAAGGTGAACGGTCTGGAAGTTGGTGGGTACACCAGTTCATA